GCCCCTCCCCACCCTCCTCACCCAGCCCCTCCCCACCCTCCCCACCCTCCCCACCCTCCCCACCCTCCCCTCTCCACCCAGCCACACCCCTCCCATGTTTGTATGCACGACGGACGGACGGACACAATACTCCCCTGTTGGCTGGTGTAACCAGGAGGTTCCTACCAGTATTAACGTTCCTAAAATTACTGTTGTTACATTGTATTTTATAGCTTTATTTTGTCGATTTCGAAAAGATATGATTAAGCCATTTTTCTTTGTGGAAGTGCAGAGTTGGCCTGATAACTTGAATCTAAATTGTCTTATGGTTGTTATTGTCTGACTTGCATCACACTGGGATTTTTGCACACAGCGTTGTAATGCGGTGTTTTTTAATTTTTCTGGAAGATTTGCTGGTTTATCCCAGGATGTTTCTGTTGCGCGTCGTCGCTTTAAGATGTTTTCTCTGTTCATGTTTTTGTTTGTGCGGTTGCACCCGACTCAAGAGCCGAATGGCTCACAGGGCTATACCCAATCAATGAACCTTGAACTTGATGTTTATGCCATTTATTGTGAAAATTCCGTCACAGTTCCTATGATTGCTTTTTCATTGCTTTCATGGCTTTATTTTGGTGATTTCGAAAAGTGTATTGGTTTAGCCATGTTTGTTTGTTGTAGTACAGAGTTAGACTGATGGCCTTAATCTAAGTTGTCTTCTGGTTGTGGTTGTTGTTGTTTGACTTGCATCCCACTGGGATTTTTGCACACAGCGTTGGTGTACGGTGCTTTTTTCTGCAATATTTTGCTATCTTTTCTTGGATTTTCTGTTTGCACTTAGTCACATATTCACTTTAAGATGTTTTTTGTTCATGTTTTTGTTTTTTGTTTGTTGCGGTTGCACCCGATTCAAGAGCCGCATGGCTCACAGCGCTGTACCTAATCAATGAAACTTGAACTTGATTCGACTTTAACAATCATCCAAGCTCTGCGATTCTCCCCCCCACCCCGCGTCTCTCTCGCTATATATATCTAGAGGTGTGTTCGGCCAATGCATGAGTGGTTTACACGTGGGTGGAGAAACCCAGAGTAGCCTGGAGAAAAATTAACCCGTAAAAACAAAGTTTTTCACTATAAATCCTTTATATGTGTGGCGGCTAGAGTCCTCTCGTCCTCTGGCTTGAGATGGCTGCCACTTATGGGTCAGATGATTGCCTGCCACCATTAAGCAATTGGTAATTAAATATAGACATTTTTTTCACGAAAATAAATTGTCACGCACAACGAGTCTGTGTGCAACATGTCAGCTCGATTGGATCACGGGAAGTGGGTTGAAAAACGACCGAAAGATTTGCACGGTCGTAAGCGCGCAAGCAAGCAAATTAACTTAATATAAAGGATTTAAAAACCCACGCGTTCCTGCGAGGGGGAAACGCTCTATCCCCATACAGGCCGGTCACGTGGAGGCCACCGTGTTGCTGTAGCCGCCTCCTCCTGGCAGAGCCACGTGTACGGCTCCATCCTTGACGCCCACCCACGTGGAAGAGTTGGAACAGGTGGAGCTCAGAGGCTCCGCGCGTCTCGTGAGCGTCTCTCTGCGGCACAAAGTTGACCACGGGGCCAATCACTGGGGAGTCAGAGGGACCCCGCCCGCCCCTCCCCCCCGCCCGCCCCGCCTCACCCCCCGCCCTCCCCCCGCCCCCCCCACCCCCCCGGCTCATCATCACCACCGTCACCCCCATCATCATCACCACCACCACTACTATCATCATCACCCCCATCGTCATCACCACCATCACTACTATCATCATCACCCCCCCCATCACCACCATCACACCCCCATCATCATCACCATCACCACCATCACCATCATCACACCTTCATAATCATCACCACCACCGTCACCCCCATCATCATCATCACCACTGTCATAATCATCATCACACCCCATCATCACCACCACCACCATCACCACACTCCTATCTCCACCACCGTCACCCCCATCATCATCATCACCACCGTCATAATCATCATCACACCCCATCATCACCACCACCACCATCACCACACTCCTATCTCCACCACCGTCACCCCCATCATCATCATCACCACCGTCATAATCATCATCACACCCCATCATCACCACCACCACCATCACCACACTCCTATCTCCACTACCGTCACCCCCATCATCATCATCACCACCGTCATAATCATCATCACACCCCCATCATCACCACCACCACCATCACCACACTCCTATCTCCACCACCGTCACCCCCATCATCATCATCACCACCGTCATAATCATCATCACACCCCATCATCACCACCACCACCATCACCACACTCCTATCTCCACCACCGTCACCCCCATCATCATCATCACCACCGTCATAATCATCATCACACCCCATCATCACCACCACCACCATCACCACACTCCTATCACCACCACCGTCACCCCCATCATCATCATCACCACTGTCATAATCATCATCACACCCCATCATCACCACCACCACCATCACCACACTCCTATCTCCACCACCGTCACCCCCATCATCATCATCACCACCGTCATAATCATCATCACACCCCATCATCACCACCACCACCATCACCACACTCCTATCTTCACTACCGTCACCCCCATCATCATCATCACCACCGTCATAATCATCATCACACCCCATCATCACCACCACCACCATCACCACACTCCTATCTCCACCATCTCACCCCCATCATCATCACCATCACCACCATCACCCCCATCACCACCATCACACCTTCATCATCATCACCACCACCACACCCCCGTCACCATCAACCACCCACGGGTCACACCCAGATCGTAATCATCATGCGAACTACCTTCAGAAAACTTGTCGAGATTAATATTGCGTGTAGCCGCGTGAGTGTGTAGCTGTGTGTGTGTAACCCTGTGTGTGTGTAGCCGTGTGTGTGTGTAGCCGTGTGTGTGTGTAGCCGTGTGTGTGTAGCTGTGTGTGTGTGTGTAGCTGTGTGTGTGTAGCTGTATGTGTAGCTGTGTGTGTGTAGCCGTGTGTGTAGCTGTGCGTGTGTGTAGCTGTGCGTGTGTGTAGCTGTGTGTGTGTAGCCGTGTGTGTAGCTGTGTGTGTAGCTGTGTGTGTGTAGCTGTGTGCGTGTGTAGCTGTGTGTGTAGCTGTGTGTGTGTGTGTGTAGCTGTGTGTGTGTAGCTGTGTGTGTGTGTAGCTGTGTGTGTATGTAGCTGTGTGTGTAGCTGTGTGTGTGTAGCTGTGTGTGTGTGTAGCTGTGTGTGTAGCTGTGTCTGGTCAACGTGTAGCTGTCAATCATCGCCGAGTTCATAGTTACACCCCAAGCAGCGGTGGTGGTGGTTATAGTGGTGGTGGTGGGTGGTGTCACCCTCTGTGGTGAGGTTGTGGTGGTTATAGTGGTGGTAGTGGTGGTGGCGGTGGTGGTGTCACCCTCTGTGGTGAGGTTGTGGTGGTTATAGTGGTGGTAGTGGTGGTGGCGGTGGTGGTGTCACCCTCTGTGGTGAGGTTGTGGTGGTTATTGTGGTTGTGGTGGGTGGGTGGTGGTGGTGTCACCCTCTGTGGTGAGGTTGTTGTGGTTATTTTGGTTGTGGTGGGTGGTGGTGGTGGCTGGTGGTGGTGGTGGTGGCTGGTGGTGGTGGTGTCACCCTCTGTGGTGAGGTTGTGGTGGTTATAGTGGTGGTGGTGGGTGGTGGTTATAGTGGTGGTGGTGGGTGGTGGCGGTGGTGGTGGTGTCACCCTCTGCGGTGAGGTTGTGGTGGTTATAGTGGTGGTAGTGGTGGTGGCGGTGGTGGTGTCACCCTCTGTGGTGAGGTTGTGGTGGTTATTGTGGTTGTGGTGGGTGTGTGGTGGTGGTGTCACCCTCTGTGGTGAGGTTGTTGTGGTTATTTTGGTTGTGGTGGGTGGTGGTGGTGGCTGGTGGTGGTGGTGGCTGGTGGTGGTGGTGTCACCCTCTGTGGTGAGGTTGTGGTGGTTATAGTGGTGGTGGTGGTGGGTGGTGGTTATAGTGGTGGTGGTGGGTGGTGGCGGTGGTGGTGGTGTCACCCTCTGCGGTGAGGTTGTGGTGGTTATAGTGGTGGTGGGTGGATGGTGGTGGTGGTGTCACCATCTGTGGTGAGGTTGTGGTGGTTATAGTGGTGGTAGTGGTGGGTGGCTCGTGGTGGTAGCTGGTGGTGGTGTCACCCTCTGTGGTGAGGTTGTGGTGGTTATAGTGGTGGTGGTGGGGGTGTCACCCTGTGTGGTGAAGTTGTGGTGGTTATTGTGGTTGTGGTGGGTGGCTGGTGGTGGTGGCGGTGGTGGTGTCACCCTCTGTGGTGGCTGGTTGTGGTGGTTATTGTGGTTGTGGTGGGTGGCTGGTGGTGGTGGCGGTGGTGGTTATAGTGGTGGTGGGTGGTGGTGGTGGTGTCACCCTGTGTGGTGAGGTTGTGGTGGTTATAGTGGTGGTGGGTGGTGTTGGTGGCGGTGGTGGTGGTGGTGGCGGTGGTTATAGTGGTGGTGGGTGGCTGGTGGTGGTGGCGGTGGTGGTTATAGTGGTGGTGGGTGGTGGTGGTGGTGGTGGGTGGTGTCACCCTGTGTGGTGAGGTTGTGGTGGTTATAGTGGTGGTGGGTGGTGGTGGTGGTTATAGTGGTGGTGGGTGGTGGTGGGCGGTGGTTATAGTGGTGGTGGGTGGCTGGTGGTGGTGGCGGTGGTGGTTATAGTGGTGGTGGGTGGATGGTGGTGGTGGCGGTGGTGGTTGTTATAGTGGTGGTGGGTGGTGGTGGGTGGTGGTGGTGGTGGGTGGTGGTGGTGGTGTCACCCTGTGTGGTGAGGTTGTGGTGGTTATAGTGGTGGTGGGTGGTGGTGGTGGTTATAGTGGTGGTGGGTGGCTGGTGGCGGTGGCACCCTGTGTGGTGAGGTTGTGGTGGTTATAGTGGTTGTGGTGGGTGGCTGGTGGTGGCGGTGGTAGCGGTGGCTGGAATTCATTATCGCGAGGACACGTGCAGGGAGGGGGCTGTCGTTGCTGTTGGGACCGCTTGTTCTTCGTGTTGTTGGTGTTGGTGTTGGAAGTCGCATTTCTGTAAATGGACACCGGATTGCTGCTGCTGGACTCCGCTGATGGTGAGTTCCTGTCTGTGTGTGTCGTGTGTGTGTCTGCCTGTGTCTGTGTGTGTGTCTGTGTGTGTCGTGTGTGTGTGTCTGTGTGTGTGTGTCGTGTGTGTGTCTGTGTGTGTGTCGTGTGTGTGTCTGTGTGTGTCGTGTGTGTGTCTGTGTGTGTGTCGTGTGTGTGTCTGTGTGTGTGTCGTGTGTGTGTGTCTGTGTGTGTGTGTCTGTGTGTGTCGTGTGTCTGTGTGTGTGTGAGTGTGTGTCTGTGTGTGTCTATGTCTGTGTGTGTCTGTGTGTGTGTGTCTGTGTCGTGTGTGTCTATGTCGTGTGTGTGTGTCTGTGTGTGTGTGTCGTGTGTCTGGGTGTGTCGTGTGTGTGTCTGTGTGTGTGTCTGTCTGTGTGTGTGTGTCTGTGTGTGTCGTGTGTGTGTGTCGTGTGTGTGTCTGTGTGTGTGTGTCGTGTGTGTGTCTGTGTGTGTGTCTGTGTGTGTCGTGTGTGTGTGTGTGTCGTGTGTGTGTCGTGTGTGTGTCTGTGTTTGTGTCGTGTTTGTGTCTGTCTTTCTGTATGTGTGTGTCTGTGTATGTCTGTCTGTGTGTGTCGTGTGTGTGTCTGTGTCTGTCTGTGTGTGTCTGCGTCTGTGTGTGTCTGTTCTAGATTTGAAGCTTTCGTGACTGCAAGGATTTAGGGTTTTTTTTCTTTCGGTAAAGTCACTTAGGTGTGTGTCTGTGTTTGTGTCGTGTGTGTGTGTCTGTGTGTCGTGTGTGTCTGTGTCTATCTGTGTGTGTGTCTGTGTGTGTCTATCTGTGTGTGTGTCGTGTGTGTCTGTGTGTGTGTGTCGTGTGTGTCTGTGTGTGTGTCTGTGTGTCGTGTGTGTCTGTGTGTCGTGTGTGTCTGTGTGTGTCTATCTGTGTGTGTGTCTTGTGTGTGCCATGTCTATCTGTGTGTGTGTCTGTGTGTGTCTATCTGTGTGTGTGTCGTGTGTGTCTGTGTGTGTGTCGTGTGTGTCTGTGTGTGCGTCTGTGTGTCGTGTGTGTCTGTGTGTCGTGTGTGTCTGTGTGTCGTGTGTGTCTGTGTGTGTCTATCTGTGTGTGTGTCTTGTGTGTGCCATGTCTATCTGTGTGTGTGTCTGTGTGTGTCTATCTGTGTGTCGTGTGTGTCTGTGTGTGTCGTGTGTGTCTGTGTGTGTGTCTGTGTGTCGTGTGTGTCTGTGTCGTGTGTGTCTGTGTGTGTGTGTCGTGTGTGTCTGTGTGTCTGTGTGTCGTGTGTGTGTGTCTGTGTGTCGTGTGTGTCTGTGTCTTTCTGTGTGTGTGTCTGTGTGTGTCTGTGTGTGTGTGTGTCGTGTGTGTCTGTGTGTGTGTCTGTGTGTCGTGTGTGTCTGTGTGTCGTGTGTGTCTGTGTGTGTCTATCTGTGTGTGTGTCTTGTGTGTGCCATGTCTATCTGTGTGTGTCTATCTGTGTGTGTGTCGTGTGTGTCTGTGTGTGTGTGTCGTGTGTGTCTGTGTGTGTGTCTGTGTGTCGTGTGTGTCTGTGTGTCGTGTGTGTCTGTGTGTGTCTATCTGTGTGTGTGTCTTGTGTGTGCCATGTCTATCTGTGTGTGTGTCTGTGTGTGTCTATCTGTGTGTGTGTCGTGTGTGTCTGTGTGTGTGTGTCGTGTGTGTCTGTGTGTGTGTCTGTGTGTCGTGTGTGTCTGTGTCGTGTGTGTCTGTGTGTGTGTGTCGTGTGTGTCTGTGTGTCTGTGTGTCGTGTGTGTGTGTCTGTGTGTCGTGTGTGTCTGTGTCTATCTGTGTGTGTGTCTGTGTGTGTCTATCTGTGTGTGTGTCGTGTGTGTCTGTGTGTGTGTGTGTCTGTGTGTGTGTCTGTGTGTCGTGTGTGTCTGTGTGTCGTGTGTGTCTGTGTGTGTCTATCTGTGTGTGTGTCTTGTGTGTGCCATGTCTATCTGTGTGTGTCTATCTGTGTGTGTGTCGTGTGTGTCTGTGTGTGTGTGTCGTGTGTGTCTGTGTGTGTGTCTGTGTGTCGTGTGTGTCTGTGTGTCGTGTGTGTCTGTGTGTGTCTATCTGTGTGTGTGTCTTGTGTGTGCCATGTCTATCTGTGTGTGTGTCTGTGTGTGTCTATCTGTGTGTGTGTCGTGTGTGTCTGTGTGTGTGTGTCGTGTGTGTCTGTGTGTGTGTCTGTGTGTCGTGTGTGTCTGTGTCGTGTGTGTCTGTGTGTGTCTATCTGTGTGTGTGTCTTGTGTGTGCCATGTCTATCTGTGTGTGTGTCTGTGTGTGTCTATCTGTGTGTGTGTCGTGTGTGTCTGTGTGTGTGTGTGTCGTGTGTGTCTGTGTGTGTGTCATGTGTGTCGTGTGTGTCTGCGTGTATATGTGTGTCTCTATGTATGTGTGTGTGTGTCTAGTGTGTGTGTCGTGTCTGTGTGTCGTGTGTGTGTCTGTGTGTCGTGTCTGTGTGTGTGTCGTGTGTCTGTGTCTATGTGTGTCTGTATGTGAGTCTGAATGTATGGGTTTGTGTCTGTATGTGTGTCGTGTCTGTGTGTCGTGTCTGTGTGTGTCGTGTGTGTGTCTGTTGTGTGTGTCTGTGTGTGTGTGTCGTGTGTGTGTCTGTGTGTCGCGGGGAGCGGTGGTGTAGTGGTTAGCGCTACGCTGCGCTACGAACCCGGCGAAGCGAGTTCGATTCCCGCTCACGGCCACTAGCGCCGGTGACGATAATCTGAACCGGTCCTGGGCCTCCCCGAGGTCGACTCAGCCTCAAATGAGTACCCGGTGCATAAACATCGCTACCGGGGAGACAAAGGCGGCCGGGCGTGGTGCCAGCCACCCCCTCGTGTGCCACTGTGCCGGCCTTGGCATGCGCTGCCTAACCGCACTTGCCTCAAAAGCCTGTGAAGGCTACACGGGGGATCTTTGTCTTTGTGGGGAGCGGTGGCGCAGCGGTTAGCGCTGCTCTGCGCTACGAATCCAGCAATGGAGCGTCGTTCCATTCGCGCTCACGAACAATGACTGCGTGCGCCGATTTATCTGTACCGGTGAATGGCCACCCCCTAGGTCGACTCAGCCTTAAAACCGATTGCCTGGTTGCGGTGTGTAAAATAGCACTGGGGAGACAAAGGCGGCCGGGCGTGGTGCTGGCCACCCACCCGCCCCCTCGTGTGCCACTGTGTGCCGGCCTTCATAGGTGCTGCTACTCGCTCACAGCACTTGCCCCGGCAGTCTTCCAAAGGCTACACGGGGGATCTTTGTCTTTGTACGCGTTCGACGCGCGCGCTGCAACGGGAAGGAAAGCGCCCGACTGTGTGCGAGGGGGGAACACGCGATCCCCACGTTATCTCTGTCTCGGCGTGAGTCAGAGAAAGAGAGAAGTGGTCAGGCGCCTTCACACGACTTTCGAGATGGTGGTCTCTGTGTTTGTCTCTCTCTGTTTCCCTGACGTGGCGGTGAGATGTTGACTACCTCGCCTGGTATGCAGGATGTCGTGGGTTCGATCCCGACCCTGACATCTGCTGCTGTATATTTGGAGTTTGCGTATCTCTCTCATCATCATCACGGTGGCTAGGAGATGTTAACTACCTCGCCTGGTATACAGGAAATCGTGGGTTCGATCCCTACCCTGGCGATGACTGCTGCTGTATATTTGGAGTTTGCGTATCTCTCTCATCATCATCACGGTGGCTAGGAGATGTTAACTACCTTGCCTGGTATACAGGAGGTCGTGGGTTCGATCCCGACCCTGACGCCTGCTGCTGTGTATTTGGAGTTTGCGTGTCTCTCGCTCTCATCATCATCACGGTGGCTAGGAGATGTTAACTACCTCGCCTGGTATGCAGGAGGTCGTGGGTTCGATCCCGACCCTGACACCTGCTGCTGTATATTTGGAGTTTGTGGTGTCTCTCTCATCATCATCATCACAGTGGCTAGGAGATGTTAACTACCTCGCCTGGTATGCAGGAGGTCGTGGGTTCGATCCCGACCCTGACGCCTACTGCTGTATATTTGGAGTTTGTGGTGTCTCTCTCTCATCATCATCACTGTGGCTAGGAGATGTTAACTACCTCGCCTGATATACAGGAAATCGTGGGTTTTATCCCGATCCTGACGCCGACTGCTGTATATTTGGGGTTTGCGGTGTCTCTCTCTCACTCTCTCATCATCACTGTGGCTAGGAGATGTTAACTACCTTGCCTGGTACGCAGGAGGTCGTGGGTTCGATCCTGACCGTGACGCCTACTGCTGTATCTGGAGTTTGCGTGTCTCTCTCTCTCCGCGTGATTTTTCTCCGGGTCCTCTGGCTTTTCCCTCCAATTTTTTTTAATCAGCATCGCGCGTTCAAAGTGTTTGGCCACAGCTATAATAAATGTCCTCACGATGATGGTGATGGTGATGATGGTGGTGATGGTGGTGATGATGGTGATGATGATGGTGATGATGGTGGTGATGATGGTGATGATGATGCCCCCCCTCTCTCTGCCCCCCTTTCTCCCTGCCTCCCCTCTCTCCCTGCCCCCCCTCTCTCTCTCTCTGCCCCCTCTCTCTCTGCCCCCTCTCTCCCTGCCCCCCCTCTCTCTGCCCCCTCTCTCTCCCTGCCCCCCCCCTCTCTCTCTCTGCCCCCTCTCTCTCTGCCCCCTCTCTCCCTGCCTCCCCTCTCTCTGCCCCCCCTCTCTCCTGCCCCCCCTCTCTCTGCCCCCTCTCTCCCTGCCTCCCCTCTCTCCCTGCCCCCCCTCTCTCTCTCTGCCCCCCTCTCTCTCTGCCCCCTCTCTCCCTGCCCCCCCTCTCTCTGCCCCCCCTCTCTCCCTGCCTCCCCTCTCTCTGCCCCCCCTCTCTCTGCCCCCCCTCTCTCTGCCCCCCCTCTCTCCCTGCCTCCCCTCTCTCCCTGCCCCCCCTCTCTCTGCCCCCCTCTCTCCCTGCCCCCCTCTCTCCCTGCCCCCCCTCTCTCCCTGCCCCCCCTCTCTCTCCCTGCTGCCCCCCTCTCTCCCTGCCCCCCCTCTCTCCCTGCCCCCCCTCTCTCTCCCTGCCCCCCCTCTCTCTGCCCCCCTCTCTCCCTGCCTCCCCTCTCTCCCTGCCCCCCCTCTCTCTGCCCCCCTCTCTCCCTGCCCCCCTCTCTCTCTCTGCCCCCCTCTCTCCCTGCCCCCCCTCTCCCTCTCTGCCCCCCTCTCTCCCTGCCCCCCCTCTCTCTTTCTGCCCCCCTCTCTCTGCCCCCCTCTCTCCCTGCCCCCCCCTCTCTCTGCCCCCCTCTCTCCCTGCCCCCCTCTCTCTGCCCCCTCTCTCCCTGCCCCCCCCTCTCTCTCTGCCCCCCCCTCTCTCTCTGCCCCCCCTCTCTCTGCCCCCCCTATCTCTGCCTCCCCTCTCTCCCTGCCCCCCCTCTCTCTGCCCCCCTCTCTCCCTGCCCCCCTCTCTCTGCCCCCCTCTCTCCCTGCCCCCCCCCTCTCTCCCTGCCCCCCCCCTCTCTCTCTGCCCCCCCTCTCTCTGCCCCCCCTATCTCTGCCTCCCCTCTCTCCCTGCCCCCCCTCTCTCTGCCCCCCCTCTCTCTGCCCCCCCTCTCTCCCTGCCCCCCCCTCTCTCTCTGCCCCCCCTCTCTCTCTGCCCCCCCTCTCTCTGCCCCCCCTATCTCTGCCCCCCTCTCTCTCTGCCCCCCCTCTCTCTGCCCCCCCTATCTCTGCCCCCCTCTCTCTCTGCCCCCCCTCTCCCTGCCCCCCTCTCTCTGCCCCCCCCACCTCGCGCTTGCAGAGCCGCTGGACGGCTTCAGCGCCCGCCATCTCGTGCTGCGCGTGCAGAGCAAGTTGCAGGGCAAGTGCGGCGGGGGGAGCGGGGGGCGGGGGGGGCCCCCCTCCCCCTCCTCTGCCCCCCCCCTCGTGGACGAGACTGCGGCCGCGGCTCTGGACGCGCTGTACCGCGTGGCGCGGGACACCTCGGGCAGCCAGAAGCGAGCGCAGCGGCTGCTCAAAGACCTCGTCAAGGTAGGGGAGGGGGGTAGGGGGGGCAGGGGGGGCAGGGGGGGGTAGGGGGGGGTAGGGGGGTGGGGCACCTGCTGGGCGACACGGATGTCCTCTGGCTCCCACATTATTGAACATCTATTTTGACCGCGTAGTTCGTGAAGCCTTCAATAGCTGTACCCTGGGGGAATTTCCATCTGGTACAGATACAATGGGAGGCTGATCGATGCCCGGGTGCGGTCGAGGGATGGCTCCCTATTGGTCAACCACGTTATGTATGCCGATGATTTGGTAATTGATGCTCATTCAGAGGAGGAGTTGGAGACGCTGCTGCTGAACCTGGAGCTTGCCACTAAGAGGTGGGGCCTTACCATCAGCCCCGCCAAAACTAAACACCTGCCTGGGTATTTTGTACCATCGGACACTCCACCCCCACAACTCCCAATCGGCGATGGGGCAGTAGTGGAGAGAGTAGAGAGTTTCCCATACCTGGGCAGTGTGCTTA